CCAACCAACAAACCACAAAAAAACCAAACCAAAACCACAGTAAAAAATTCAGACAGTGGCAATATCTGTGGAAGAATCAAACTGAGATGTTAGGAGAGAAATTAATACACTAACCTTTCCAAAAGAATAGAAACTTAATGCTGTTGCTTAATGCACAACTTGAAGTAAGTTTAAAAAAACCCCAGGCCATATTAGTACTTATGGACATACTGGATATATCATTAGTTCTGTATGTACGTGCAAATAATAAAGGCAGAACAATACATGATATCCCCAGAAGTTGGAAGTGTGGGCTGTTTTTAGATGCTAGCACATCCACATATCTTCTTGTCCTGTGTGATAAGATCATTATTATTTTTATCTCCCCATCTGGAGGTATTTCAGTCATCTTGTGATCCTATATACTATTTGAGAAGAGGCCATGTTCTGTTACCTTACAACAGTGATCTTTCTGAAAGTCATAAAAAATGTTTGTCATGAGGATTTCAGTTGTAGCAGAGAAACTGAAAATGCTTTCTTCAGAGACATACACACTCACCGTAAGTAGAGATACAAATAGTTTTGATGTCAGTGGTTTTTCTTTGGTTTTTAATCGTACCTTTGAAATAATGCCAATAATACTGTATATGGAGGCATTCTTCAATACTTCAGTATATCTGAATTAATAAAGCTTTATTAATATTTTTCATCTACTATTCGTAACTATTCATATTTTTATCTACTTTTCATCTAGAACATAAAGGGTTTTTTCCTTCTTCATTTTAAGAAGGCACTGTTTGTATTTCTTGGGAAGAGTGAAAAATGTATTTAATGTCCATTTCCCCACACACAGTGCTGTAAACATTAAGAAGAGTTTACATCTAAGGTCCTTCTAACCTACCTACAGAAACAGCAGGTAGAATAAGGAGTACAGAAACTGTAGTCTTTCTATTGGAAATAGAAGGAATTTGCATTATATTAAGAATTTAAGTAACTGTGGCTTGGGTTCAGATCCAAGGAGAGGGAAGATTCTGCATTCTCATGCCATTGCCAATAGGAATGTTGACAGCCCTGCCTCTGAAAGATAGATTTTTTTCAAAGCATCTGTGTTAAAAAGGCTGTATTTTCTTGTGGCTGCTGTATGTTAATACAACTTTGTTATTCCACTTGTGAACGGATGACTGAAACACAACGGGTGTCTTCATTCACCAGTCTTTCGCATTCTTTTTGTACAACAGCCAAAGGAGTGGTTTGGTTTTGTTTTGTTTGGGAGTTGCTTGATTTAACTGAGTATTTTCATGTACAGGGATTGCAATTCTACCATCTTACTGCTTTTAAAAGTGGTTGTTAGAGATTATTACTTAATTTATGGTTTTGGTTACTTGCTTATGGAGTATCATCATTCTAACGAATAGATGATTACGTAATAATATTAGAATTCACAAAGGTTTACACAATACAGCAGTTTTTTCCATCAGGTTTTTGATAACCAGAGTGAGAACTAAAATTATTACGTAGTTGTTGGGTTTTTTTATTTGTAGAATTGCTGTTCCGTTTCTGGAAACTGTCAAACCGACCTTAATGTTTATTATGCATTTCATTGTATATTTCCAGAGCTGCAATGAATAACATTCAGCAACTGATTATGATTTTGAACTCTGCAACTGATACACCATCAGATACTCTCATCATGTATTTCAATGTAAGTAACTAGAAGGAAGATTTGTGAAAGATTCTTGGAATTATTGCTCAAGTAACTTTATACACTTGTAGACCTGATGCACGTGTTTTGGGAAACTCCTTTATTAACAACCATTTTTTGAAGAAGTACATTTTAATTAGGATGGTTTAAATATAACAGCTCAATTTAGAAAGCACTTCTAATTTACGTGTACTGGAACCTTGCAAGTTCTTAAATATTTTTGTTACTGCACTAAATATTAAAGTTTATTTAGGTATGTGTCAGATGGAAAAGGAAGGGGATATAAAAGGGAGGCAAAGAAGAGGAGGAGGATGTGCTTGGAGTATCTTATATACATATTCAGCAACTCAAGTGTATTTCAAACTTTAAAGACATTAACATTGATGGTACTACTGTCATATTAGTTGGCTTGGTTGCAGCTAGTTGTATGCGAGACACAAAGTTGCAGTGACTGGAAATTGTTGAATGTATACAATGATTCTGTGTTTTTAAATACTCCACTTTTATTTATGCTGATGAGCTGATTGAGAAATGTTACGAAGTGAAGCAGGACTCGTGATTGAACCATTAAAACGTATTTGAAGTAAAATGTCCTTTCTTTGCCTTTCCTTCCCCTGCCCTCCTCCTTTATTAGAATTGCACAGTGAACCCTAAGGATAGTATCCTGAAAAGAGTGGAAACTCTTGCCCACATCTTCAAAAAGAAATTTGCTGAAGCGGTTGGACAGGGATGTGCTGAAATTGGCTCACAGGTAACTAGCATTTTGGTTGAGTATTGCTCATGTGAACCCTGTTGGTCTCACATTGGTATTGCTCATGTGAACCCTGTTGGTACTAGCAAATGTGAGACCTGACTTACTGACTGTCCTCCTTCAGTGCAGATCAGTAACGGTACAAAGCAACAGCATTCTTTTCAACTTGAGGAATGGAGAGGGATTTTTGTTTCCTAAAGCGTGTAAAGATAGGATTCAACAAATTATTCGTAATATATAAGGAGCCATAGGAACTGCGTACAAATATGTTGGGAATACTTTAATGAAGAATGGGAAAATTGCTGGGCAAAATACATTTAGTGAACCAAGTACTTGCATTCATTAAGGTAACAGTCTAAAACTGCAGAAGGTGACTCACTTCCTTATGAAATTGGTAGGCCAGCTGTGCTTTCAACAAGGATTTTGGAAAACAAATCCAGCCAAGTTTGTACTCCACAGTCTGCTGTCTCTCAGCTGTGCTTTTTATCCTGTTTGCTGTGAATCAACACCTGATTAAGTCTTGGTATAGTTGTGGTAGCTACAAACCTTAGTAGCCTTCGAGGCCTCTCCAGTGCTGTTGGCAACTGAAACTGGGGACTTCTTTAAAGTGGCTCTTCCAAGAACAGAAATGTTCTGAATTGTTAAAACATGAGAGTCTGCCTGTTGTAGTCTGTTAAAACTTCTTGTAAGGTTCTTGATTTTTTTCTTTTCTAACAGAGATACAAGCTTGGAGTACGTCTGTATTACAGAGTAATGGAGTCTATGCTAAAGTCGGTAAGTTTAGTACTGGTAGTTTAGTACTGGTATTGCATTTACAAACACTAGGTGTATTCACAAGTTTGGTTTGATTGATATATTTCAGGAGGAAGAGCGCCTCTCAGTCCAGAATTTCAGGTATGTGCCTCTAACTTGTTACTGAAGTCTGCTATTTGAGTGTTAGGACAAGTATTAATAACTTTCTTTCTCCTTAGCAAACTTCTGAATGATAACATCTTCCACACATCTCTTCTGGCATGTGCTGTTGAAGTTGTCATGGCTACATATGGCAGTAAGTTGAACCTGAAGTCCTAAATAGCTTTGTTCTTTACAGATAAATATTGCCATTTGTTCTAATACATAAAATACAGTAAATAGCAAAAAGCAAAAAAAGTGCTCACTGAAATTTCTGAACTAGCAATGATTCAATAAATACAAAAAGGGAAAAAAAACCCCACAAAAGTGAAAGAATGTAGTACTCTTGATAATTTTGGTCCGTTTTTCCTGCAGGAAATGCTTCACAAAGTGATGGTACCAGTGCGGAAACAGACTTATCTTTCCCATGGATTCTTAATGTATTCGATTTAAAAGCTTTTGACTTCTACAAAGTGATTGAAAGCTTTATTAAAGCGGAGCCAAGCCTAACAAGGGAAATGATAAAGCATCTAGAACGCTGTGAACATCGAATTATGGAGTCTCTCGCTTGGCAGTCTGTAAGTAATGCTTTAAAGTAGTATTTGTTCTTGTATAATGTGCATATCTAGGAAATCGTACCCAAGTCTGTGGAATAGGTTGTGGTCTTGCTGAGATTTATTTCTAGCAAAATCAATTACAAGAGCAAAACAGGATTAGTTTTGGCATGTCTTCAGGTTTTGAAAAGAAGCAGTATATCAGAGGAAGAAGTTGACATAGCTCTGCTGATTTATGTGATTGTAAGCCAACATCACCTTACTAGTCTGGCATGAATCTTAAGGGTAATACCCTTAAATGGTATTTTGCTGCCAACAACAAGGCAATAAATTCTATGCTTTTATTTGTAAGTTAATTTTTATCCAGTTGCTGTTCGACTTGGCAACAGAGCCTTAGTTCTGTGCATCTGATGTGTTTGTTAATAGTACTTAAAATATTGATTTGGTTCGTCCTTTGCGCTTCAGTCACTTTACTATTTTCGGATGCCATGAAAACAAAATGCTGGGAGGTTGGGTTTGGTTTTTTTAGGCTGGATCTCAGTAAATCAAATGTTGTTTCTTTATATTGTATGTCACTTGTAAAACAAAAATATGCTGTTAATGCCACAAAACAAGAGGCTATAAAGACTGCTAATTTTGACCAGAGACACACAAAGCGACTGTTTTAAGAACCCATCCCATATTTTACGGTTCTGGGAAGTTAAAAAAACATGGATGCCATAGCTAATGGGATAGTCAGTCATGAAGCAAGTTCTCTTTTCAGACTAATCTGTGTTTTAGTTTGTATGTGACTTCGGAGTGAAAAGTCAACAGTTTTCTAGTATGGATGATACTTTTCCAGGCAGTGGAGTTATATTCCTGGATTCTGAGAACACACATTGGGAAACGCAGGTAGCCTCTACACTGCTGTATGAATTTCTTCATGGATTTCCCATTCTTTGAATAAGGCTACCTGAAAGCGCTTGAGCTTGGGGGCCTTTAAGCAGAGCCTACAGAAACAGGGGAAACGAGGCAGTATTTCAAGAGGCAGCAGTATTTTAAGAAGCTTGCAGGCATATAAAAAGTGCTTATTTGAGAGTTGTAACATTCTGAGAACAAAAGGCAGAGGTACAGATACCCAAGTTTGACTCTTTATAAGCAAAAAGTGGCTACAGCTACCTTCAGCAAACCAGTTTGCTGGGAAAAAAGCAAAGTCAGCTTGCAGACCAATCAATGATAAGCCGTATCTACCAGTTTCTACCCACTAATTCAAACACTGCATGATTTGGACTTGCGCTTTCAGACTGGAAAATGGAAAGCATCGTGTTTTCAAAAATTACGGGTGTAGCTTTTGTGAAACAGATTATAATGTCAACAGCAAGTAAAGGATTATTTCAGGTTTTCAGAGTGCTCTGTTTGAATGCATTTTAATGTACTGGGTCTGTCCTCTTGAGTTGCCAGAGGTACATATTTGGTAGTGTTTTGGGGTGGCTTATATAGCTGTTTTAAGCGTTAATAGTAGTTCAGCTGGAAGGGACCTACAAGGTGCCAGTAAGAGATGCAGAGTGGAGCACAGTGGAGGGGATAAAAAGCAATGTGCAGCGCACGTATCCAAGGACCCTTCTGCTTCACTGACCACTGTGTCACATCTTGCATGTCCCCAGGCGCAGGACAGTCTGCAGTCACGCCGGGCTTGTCACTACCGGGCACAGCAGGGTTCCCTCAAGAGCTGAGGGAGGCTGTAGCAGGCAGCTCTGGGCAGTTGGAGCCTGCGTACAGGCCTCCATTGCCTCCTCCAGCTGCCTGTATGGGAAAGGCTGGGAGCTGTGAGCAACAACCTGCGTAGTGTTGGCTCAGGAGAAGTAGTGAAATGTTATCTGTAGTAAAATGTCTTGCTGAGTCTCCGGGTCACTACAGTGAAGGACATGAGGCGTGTACATTGTAAGGCTGCTTATAGAAACATATAGCCGTGAGGCCTCTAGTGCAGAAAATCCACCTGTGCCATCTAAATACTGGCCGGTTGAGTCTGAGAGGTGTAACTTATTAGCAGTGGGAGAAAATGCTTCTGTGGCTGACTTGTAAGGCTGTTGAGGTCAGGTGTCCCTGAAAGGTTCAGCTAGTGAACGAAGGAGTGGTTTACCGTGTTCTTCTGCAGTTTATTACCTGGATATTGTCTCCATGTAATAGTGTACAAGGTTTATAAAGTGTCTGCTTGATTAGTAATTCCCTCAGGAAGGGGGAGGCAATTAGAGAAGTGTAGTTCATGCCAGTAAACATCTCAACCTTCAAATGCTTGATAAAGGAGGACAGAAAAGGCAGATGACTGCTGCTTAGTTATAAAATCTCATCATAAGTGATTGCTTTGGGTTAATTTTTAAAAAAATTCCCTGATTGTCGTCGTTCAATCGCACACTGGTAATTCAAAAAATGTGCAATCTCAAGAAGGTTCAAGTTTCCTAATATGGTTAGAGAATTTTTTTTTTCTGGAAAGTGTTAAAGTGAAGAAAAATTAAGAAAAGCGTGGAATGAATGAAGCTTATGCAAAAAATATCTAGCTTGAAATAAGAATATTTATTTACAAATATTTGTATAATGCAACTGTGATTCCCCAATTATTTGCCATGTACTTTTGTTTAGTGCTTACCTTCCCCCACAGGTAGTACATTTCATTATAAGGCTTCTCTGCTCTTTGGAAAGTCAGGTCTCTTTATCCAGAGCTTCCTCATTCTCCTGACTGCTTTAGGAAGCAGGACTTGAATATGAGATTTAAAGGGACTGAGCAACTGAATACAGAGTAGCTTGAATTTATTGGAGTTTTACTTGTCACAGAGCTTTTGTGAGGAAAAAATTAAGTGCATGTGACCTTTATCTGACTTTGGAAGTTATATCGAATGAATGTGAAGGATTCTGTTCCTTACTGGTATTTGAAGATAATATATCACTCCTTTGCTAGTCATTGTGAATATGTTTATTGCATAGCTAGCTGATTTAGTCATCTGTACTTTAGGAAGGAGATTAAGCTTTTCTAGGTCATGCTTTCTTTTAACAAAAAAAACTATAGCCAGAAAAAGAAAAGTTGATTTCTTCTCAATAATTCTTAATTTTGAAAAGGGGCAAGTGTCTGTACTAAATCAATCATGTGGAAAATACTGCCTCTTCATTAAATACTTACTGAACGCTGAGGGGAGATTATCCACTCAAATGTTGTCTACCAGTGAGGTTATAATGCTTCCAGATGAAGATTATGTGGAGATCAGTTTAGAATATGTTAATAATGCTACATAATTTTTATTGGCAAAATAGAAATACACCATACAGTATTCTTTCTTCACTGTAGAACACTTGTGTGTTTCATCTCACTACAGTATTTTGGGCACTATTTTAATTTTGTAACTTGAAATAAAGGGAACTGAAACTGCTGTAGATTCAAAAATGAAGGTCCCTATAGCCTTTGCTTCATTTTTCTCATATTGATATAAATGTGATTTAAACCCTGGCAGAGTTAAAATGTGTTCCCTATGAAGGGGATAGCTTCTTACCTGCCAGCCTGGGAATTCATGCTGAGCCTTTGACATAATTCTGTTAAATTGATCTCTCTTGTGGCCAGAAAAAGACTAATAATTTTGAGTATCTCAGATGAAGGTTGTGTGAACAAATTTCAGAATGCCTGAATTTCCCTTAGAGTGTCTCAGCTTGCTGCAGTGTGTTAAGAAACAAGGAAGAGCAGGTTTTCAGAGCAAGCAAATAAAATACAAAGTCTATCAATTTTCACAGTCTGTTTTAAGAGTGTATTATCTATAACATCTGAAATGTTTCTGGGAACAATGTGACAGGTTTGGGTTTTGTTGGGGGTTTTTTTGTGCTGTGTCATTGAAGAAAGTGAACACTATGGAGTATCCATCTTTGTTGTCTGTATCTGCAAGGCAATCCAGTTGTATTCTCCTGTCTCTCAGCTTGTACTCTGCTCATAAGCTGTGAACGGGGAGGAACAAGCAAGGTACTAGATTGCTTTCACATTGCTGCTTAGGGAACGTGCTTCCTGCAAAAATACCTTTTCACATGTAATTTAGATGAAGACCGTGGAGCATACACATATTCTAAATCATCACATTTGTCATGCTTAAAATAGTTTGGGCCGCACTACAAAATACTTTTTCTGCAAGCCAGCCTTTGTTGGGCCAGAGATGAGATGTGCAAAGCCCTTCTGCTCCATCAAGCTTCAGTTGCCCAGGACTGGGGTAGTGAAGGGGTCTTGTTCTTCTGCACTGGAGTTGCAGACTGACAGCAACCTTGTCCAAAGATAAGGTAATTCATGCCAGCACGGTAAGGCGGGTTACAGAAAGAAGCATGGCCGTGCTTTTCTGGTGAGCTCTACAGAGGGTAAGATGTTGTGTTGTTAACTCACCCCTATGAGCGCTAGTAGTCCAAGGGGTGTTCCTTGCACGGGGGCAGTTTTAAAAGGTTACCTGGTAGCTTTCGCTATTAACAGGAACGAGAGGCAGTGGTGTTGCCTTCTACAACCCCACAACAGCAAACTGAACAGAATGGGAAGGTGCACTGTGGCAGGCTAAAGAGAGTTCCTTCACGGTCTGTTGCGGTCTGCTAGCTTCAACTGTTTTTTTGGTGTTTGCATGGTAGACAAACAGATGTTGAAGCCAAGCGGTGCATTACACTGCAGCCTTCTTTGGGTGTATTGCTCTTTAACACCTCATGTCTTAATTGGTGTTTGTATTTGTCAAAGGAAGAAGGAACACCAGTATCAGTATGTGTTGCCATTTAGAGTTTTAGTGTGGTTTGGAGTGTCAGTGACTGATGGAAGATAAAGATGGCTCTCCAAGGCTCCTTCTCTTAATAGTTAAAATATGATCAAAAGTAAGCAAGTGTATTTCACTGTGTCTGTAACTCCTTCCACGTAGGCTTGCCGAAACTGTGCTCTGTAAAGGTTTTCCTTCACCAGTAGCTGCTTCTCTGTGGTTTCTGTTGTCAATTAAACATCTGCAGTGAAATCTGCATTACTGTTTTATCATGTATCATTGATTTAACATAACTCAGTGTTTGCAGTAAGGGGTTGTCAACCATGCAGTTAATGTTTATACTCGGATACCTTACCCCACACCAAAGACTTCTGCTGGTTTTAAATTAGGAAGGTCAGTGTGGCAGAAATACCTTCCTGGGGAAAACCACGTATTCCCAAAGAGTGTATTTTATTGCATTGATATGACAAACTCACTGAACTGGAATAACAGCAGACCTACTTTGATTGTGCAGTAAGGGAAAAATATTAAATGGGGATGTTTAAGATTTACTTAAGGATAAAGGATAAATCCAGGTAGGGGAAAGCAAGTACTCCTTAGTATTTGTTACAGGAGAAGCTTAACTATCCAGCATCCTAGCCTGATTGTACAAGGACACAGTTGCTGTGGAACTCGCTGTACTAGAGTGCTTAGTGCCTATTTCCTTGGATGCAGCATACAATTTAAAATTAGGTTTCTGTGCTCCTGGTAAGGAGGAATTGAACATCTAGGAAGGGGAGTTAGTATGTTTTCTTGTGGTGTGTATCCTTTGCAGTAGTGTTTTCTATTAGGTTTATGCCTGAAGTCCTACACCTCTTCTGCAGGTAGGTGTAGTTTGAAGTCCTGTTTTTGATTTTGACATCTTTAAGTCATTTGTTTTAAAACTGGACAAAGTAGGAGTGGTCATACCATCAACATTTTTATGCAATAAGTTACTAGATAAATGATTTACTTCTGTATGAGAAGAATGACTCCAAAACCTTGTTGTTAGGCAGCCAAGTAAGGCCAGGCAGCAAGGACACCAGGTTTTTGGGTTGCATGTGCACTACTAGGCTCAAAGGGACAATAGTTCAGGCTTGAGTATTGCCCCACAGCCACCGGGGGCGTTTTGTCGGTAACGTGTTCCTTGGCATGTTTTGGCATTTGTCAGCACTCCTCCAGACAATGCCTAGGCAGGATTTAGGGCATGATGTTGCTCGGGGACTATATTCAACGGCTGGTATGGATTAGAAGTGGGGAAAGTTTAGTTGTGTGGGTGCAAGCTGTGATTTGCCACTTGCCCTCAAGGCCTTAGGACATGCCATGGCTCGTTGTGTTACCGACTACAGACGTAGTCGTGGGTTCAACCACCTGAGTGACTTCAGCACTGGCAAATGAGTCACGCTTTCCCTTACTCTCCCCTCTGGGCCCCAGGAGTCATACGTGTTTCTGCACAGCAGCCCATTTCTCATAGAAAAGCTAGTGTATGGCAGCCATACTCCTTTCATACCAGCAAAATTTTCCCTTTTCTTAAATATAGGAGTACCTAATTTGTGAATGAGGGACAGCCATATGCACAAAAAAAGTGCGCAGCTTATCCAGAACGACAGCACATGCAGGTGTGCTCACTGGCAGGGTATGAACCACCTACGGGGCTTCACTGGTGTGAAGGCAGGCACCTCAGCAATTGCGGGCATCAGTCACCCAGCTCCTGTGATCTTCTGGATCCATCAGAAGGATATCGACCGGTTGGAGCAAGTCCAGAGGAGGCCACGAAGATGCTCAGAGGGCTGGAGCACCTCTGCTATGGGGACAGGCTGAGAGAGTTGGGCTTGTTCAGCCTGGAGAAGAGAAGGCTCCAGGGAGACCTTATTGCAGCCTTCCAGTACCTGAAGGGGCTACAAGGAAGCTGGGGGGGAGTTTTTACAAGGGCCTGTAGTGACAGGACAAGGGGTAATGGTTTTAAATTGAAAGTGGGGAGGTTTAGATTAGCTATCAGGAAGAAGTTCTTTCCAGAGAGGGTGGTGAGGCACTGGAACAGGTTGCCCAGAGAAGCTGTGGATGCCCCATCCCTGGGAGTGTTCAAGGCCAAGCTGGACGAGGCTTTGAGCAACCTGGTCTAGTGGAAGGTGTCCCTGCCCATGGCAGGGGGGTTGGAACTAGATGGGCTTTAAGGTCCCTTCCAATCCAAACCTATGATTTTAGGCACCGAGTATTCTCTCTCAGCGTGGAGATTGCTATGGATGACCATTTCGAATGTGGAATTTTCTAGGGTTTTTCTGAAAGGCGTGCAGACTATGCCATTTCACATGCTCACCATGCTCCTTTCAAAAAAGTTACATTAGGAGGGTGCGGCTTTGACCGTAAAGAAGGAACTGAGAATTGATTTGAGGTTTTTCTGTCTGTACATACTAAATATATATTTCTTCTTGCATCATGAGCGTGTTCCAGAAGTACGTGTGATGAGAGAGAGGTCACTGCCACCACTGCTGCTTGGCGTGATAGTGCTAAAGGATCATTACTGGTTCTGCTACATGTGTGGGTTTTGTTGGGTTGTGTTTGCTGTTTTTGTTTTTTTTTTAAACTGTCTATGATTTTGCCTTTATGATACAAGGCACATCCTTAGAAGTCTGGATAGTTGCTTTTTGGGTGTTTTTGGATATACCATATAGTGTCATATACACATGTATATGTTTTATATGCTTTTTTTAGTTTGAGCATATATATACTCACACTTTTTAATAAATGCACCGATAAGATATTGAAGAGTCTTTCTCCCATGCCTTTCTACTGCTCCTGAAGAGTTTCCTTTTATAGAAATCAAGCTGCGCTTTTTGAAGCTTGAAACTTTTATTTGCCTTAACAGCCGAAGGCAAATTGAAAAACCAGGAAGAATACGAAATTATAGTCTTCACTGTCTGCACCATCACTTTGAAAATCTTCCCTGCCGCTCCTGTTTATCGTGAAGATGACTCACGCTGTTATTCGTGCTTGGGTGTTGCCACCCCAGCAAATCCTCTGGGCTACTGGAAGAGAAACCAGAACTCTTTACAGCCAAGGTCCTGCGTTTCCTGCTTTTGTCTGTGCTGGCAACGTGTTCGCTTCTTGGTTAGGCACCCACTAAGCGTACAGAACACTCACTGGGGTTGTGAGATATTGGTTATGTTAGCACAGTATTTATTAGTGGATTTATCTGTTGCAGGTATAGCAAGTCAGCCCAACCCTTAAGATGCTATTTTGATTCAAGTACAGGCACGACCAGAGGGATTACCTAAGACACAGCAGCTATGCAGAGTTTTCATTCTGTGAAATTTGGATGCCATTTTTGGTTAAGGATTTAAGTTTTTCTCTGCTTCATCTACTGCTTTAGAGTTTCTCATATTAAGGGTGTATGAGTCCTAAGTTGCTAGACTAACTTAGGTATTTAGGTTACCTCTATACTCGAGACAGAGCCTCACTTCCAGAAAGCAATTAATTCTGTTTATCTTAAATAGGTGTGTTACAATGGGATTATTCACTTTCTGAAGTTACCTCTCTCCACAGACTGCAGAGAGCATCTGTCTCCATGACAAACCTAAACTAGATGTGTGATGTTTGTCTCTGTTAAGGTTAAAAAGTGAATCATATCCGTAATACTAGTCTTCATAACTGCGTTTTCCCCCTCCCTTACGTCATTAAGGGGGCACTACCAAGAGGTAGCTAATTCTGCCCAGTTTTGGTTTAGGTGGCTGGTTGTGCTGTATATCCCGCTTACAGTCACTGTTGTGGTTTCTGTTCACCGGGAGGTCGTACTGTTACCAGCGTGGCAGCAGCAGCGGAGAATGTGTCACCGTGTCTCTGGAAATAGATTTTCGGCTGTAATAGGGAGCTGGGTGTTAGAGCTTTTGCTCAGTGGAGCTTGCAGCTCTGTTGGTGCAGTATAAAGCTATCTTGCCTGTCTCTACACTGCTTCCAAGTACAGAGTTAGTCACAGAAATAAGACTTGATGTAATTTTTTTGGTCTTTTTTTTCTTAAGGTTGCTCTGATTATTAGTAACATTTTAACAAAAAATAGTGAAATTTTTCTGGGAATGCTTGCTTTTCAAGTTCATGTTGTACAGTGTTTTGGTGTTGATGCTACGGCTGTAGGATTTTCATTTTAGTCCTACTCTGTTTCTAGATAGTTTAAACTTCATCCTCCAGCCTTGTCATATTGGCATTGCAGATACTTGTAGGAATTTTTAAAGGTTGCCCACGAGGAAGAAAAATATATTAGAGTTCAGGGAGATATACTTGCAGTTCTTTAATTTTACAAAAAAGTTGCTGAACTGGGGCAACTTTAATGTGGCAGGGTCCTTAAATACAAAAAGAGAAAACGCTTGGGTTAAATTCTGCAGCTGTATTACTGCTGCTTCTTCCTTGGATGGGATTATGCTCCCTGACTTCATCGTTTTGTAAGTCTTTGCCATCAAACAAAACCAGTGAAATGGGTGGAATGAAGTTATGGTTTAGTTTGGGTTTTTGTCTTGCTTATTTTACCTGAGCCACAGCCCTGAATAACTGTCCTAAGCTTTTACTGCTCTTTCTTACCTTATTGCTGTGTCATTTGAGCCGCTCCATCGTTAACTTTTCTGTGGAAGATAGAATTCACTTCTGTTAGGAAGCGAAGCAGGTGCCAAACAATCATTCTGATGTGGTAGGTTTGTGTTTTGTTTCTTTTTTTTTTTTTTGCTTTCCCCAGCTCTGTGCTCAATTTTCAAGCTCTTAAGGGGATAACAGTATTTTGTCAAACTCAAAACACCAAATTACATGTCACTGGAAGTGGGTTTTTGTCTCTCTGCCTGCTGCCTTTTCTTTAAGTTGTTGCATGCATAAACGCATGTTTCTTATTTTGGTTGGGGTTTTTTTTGTAGGCCGAAGAAGTGCTTTTGTGCTGGCTTTTGTACTGTATAAATGTAAGGTGTTTCAATTATGTGTTTGTATCGCTGAGTGTATACAGTAATAAAAATCCCCTTGTCAGGGATGGGGATCCCCTTGTTTACAGCTGTTGAGTAGGCATAGTGCTCACCATCCTCCAGAGTAATCCCTCTAGGTTTTTTTTTTCTTTTGGGTTGGGTTTGCCTGTCTGAATGGGTTAGGCGCAGGCTGGGAAGTGCCTGTGGTGCAGCGGAGCGCTGTGCCACTAACGCCTGGACCTGCGTGCATGGCGTTCTCCTGAACCCCTGAACAGAGACTTCAGGCTTAGCCAGTTAGGCTGTGCCTAGTCTGAACCTGGCTTGGGTAAGTACCTGAACTGGCATCACCCTGTCCTTCCCATTCTGGAGTTAGCCTGCCTGGGACAGAGCCTGTGCTTGGCACGCTCTGTCGATGCCTGCTGCACCCACCAGCCGCTCAGAGGAACTTGCAGATCTTATCTGGACAGAAAAGCTGCTAATTTTTTTTTTTTTCCCCCCACACCTACCCAACCACAGGAACATGTGAAACACAGTGTGGGCCTGCAGTATAAATGGTAAAGTTTTTCACACATAAGAAGTGTTAAATAACTTGAGCAAACAAATAGACTAAGAATTTTCGATTTGGTTTCATTAGAGGTATTTTTGTTTGGGCTGAAAAGGCAGATATTTTGGTACTTGCTTCACCATCTGTCTTCTCTCCTTTTTTTTTTTTTTTGCCATGTTTCGCTATATATTTAACAAATTTCTCCATTGACAAATACCTGCAGTGCTGTGGGTACTTTTCTCCTTACTTCATAAAAGCACTGAAGTTTTATTATAGATGCTTTCGACTTCAGTCAAATGTAGTTCTTGATTCTGTGTTGAATGGTAATTTTTTTTGTAATCCAGTATCACTCCTTAGTGACCAGAAGTGTCTTCAGGTTTTATCACGTTAACAGCTGCTTTAAAAACCTGCTTACCAGGGCAAACTTCCGAGAAGTAGTAGATCTGGTGTTGCATAATTTTACAGAAGGGTGAGGACTTGCAACTACTGACTTCCCTTTTTTTGGAAAAGCAGCAGAGTTAACCTAGACACAATTGTTCTCGTGTGAGATACACACACAATGTTATTCCAAAAATAACAGCGTTAATTTTGGATGCCTCCTGTTATGAGCATTGTTATTTCAGAATTTAAGGCAGCAACTCACTGTTTAAAAAAGGTGGAGTTAAGGCAACTCTTCATGTGTGTGGAAAAGTATTCTTTTACCTCTTCCTAAAAAGACAGGAACTTCTTGTTAGAGGCTTTCCTCCATTCTTGCTTGCGGTTCGATTCTCATGTTTAAACTGTAGAAAACTTTGTGGTGCAGGACAGCTTTTGGTTTTGTTATAAATAGAGAGGACAGACTGCTTGTTAACTAGAAAAAATAATTTAGAATTAAATGCTCAGTTCTGGAATTCACAGTCTTCCAGCAAAATGATAGGTTTTATAGGAGACCAAATGGTGTGTGCAGGGTTCTTCTTGTTTGTTTTAATTTTGTGCTAGGTTCAGTTTTCTCCAGGAAAACATGGGCATGCTTTATAAGCAGTTGTAGCAGGAACTGGATGGGGGGAGGTGATAAATGTGAAAGGCTACAAATTGCTTCAATATCAAAGCAGAATTAGCGGGTTAGAACGAACTTCTGCAAGAAGTTGGATGGAGAAGTATTAGGCTCTGCAAGCGTGGCTTTCTGCATTCGCGTTCATCTTAAATGAGCCCTGTTGAGTACCTTCTGAAAATGTGCTGATTCAGCGACTGGCAGTTGTGTTTAGACAATCGTTTAATTGTATTTATACAATTTATGAGCACTCTGATAATTGGGTAACAAATGCAGCCCGAGCATTTACAGCTTGGAGGTTCAGAATTGTTCTGCCTTACCTTTTGTAATGTATCCTGTTTCATGGTGTCAGTGATGCTCAAATGTCAGTATAACCCCTAGGTGTAAATGATAATAGTCTAGCAAAAAAGGGAACTTTTCAGGATTTACAGGTCTGCCCAGGTGCAAGAACCCTATTATACTGCATTTACTGCTGGAGAAGCATAAACACATTGCTTCTCCCTGATAAAAGTCCTAGAAAATAACATGGAAGAATAAGCAATGTTAGAGGATACTGTGCTCAAATGGGATTTTCAAATTTTTAGTGTTGCTGAACACGCAAACACGCCCGACCCAGGAAGTCCTGAGGTACAGCTGGTGAAGGAGGAGAGAAAGCCTTGTGTGCCTCTCCTGCTGTTACCTTCTTCCCCTGGCATCCAGCCTTGGTCACGGTTGGAGGCAGGATTGTAGATTAGCTGAATGTTTGGGGTCTGATCCGGTACAGCTGCTCCCATCCTCTACGTGATCTCATGAGCTTGTTTTCCATCTCTGCAGTTCTGTGACTGAGGTTACTTTCTTAAGGATTAAAAGTTTGGAGGTTGATTCCAGTTAAGGATTTCTTACCTGTCTGGAGTATCCCCTATTTGGATGAAGAATGTGCAGACTTACTTGACTTGGTGTTTCTTTAAATATCAAAGACACGTATACTGAGTGAGACAAATTTTGACTTGATTTCTGTTCCTGTGAAAGCCAGAAATTAAAATGTCAATAAGTATAAAATGAGAAGTATTTTAAAGGAATGATAGGTTGAGGTAAATCGGAGGTGTTGATAGAAAGTTTGGGGTTTTTCCTTGTCTTTGGAAACTGCTGGTGAATTACCTAGCTCTTCGTGGCTGCCTGCTTTGGTTTAGATTAAAAAAAAAAAAATATACTTGGAATCAACTACATTTTCACTGCAGTTATTTTAATGGTGAGCGTCCAGTATCTGCACTCCATAGGTGAAGAAACCTGACTACAAAGAATAAATTTTAAAGTTTTGATTCTAAAACTGAACTCCGATTCCCCCCCTTGCACAGACATACGAGTAAAAATAATGTACTTTTAGGGATTGCTGGGTGCAACACTTTCAGATGCTCGGGACCTCTGGCAACATAAGCCTTTTTTTATGTGAGATGCTTATGTATGGTTACTCCTCATCTAGATTTAAATTTTGGCATGAGTTCTTACCAGAGAGGCAGAAGAGTTGGTGTCAAAGGCAGGAGCAGAGGGAAGGACTGCGGCTGTTCAGGAATGTACCAGCGACAGCGCTGCTCCATCCACAGCTTTCCAGGATAATCTTGTTGCAGAACTGGAAAAGGTGGAGAAAACCTCATCCACTCCTGGACAGCTGGTAGCTTGGCTGTATATGAGCTTGTTGTGGGAGGTACAACCTCACTCCCCCTCTTCTGAATCAGTCAGATCAGGAATTTCTCAAGTAACGGTCAGATTCTCTGCATTGCAGAATTGCTCTTTTTGACTGTTTGCGTGTGTGGTGTGGGGGTGTTTGTGTTGTTTTGCCTTGTTTGAAGTATGTTTAATAAAAAACGTAAAGCTTCCTCAAACAGTTTTGGGATGTCCAGCTGTTCAGTGTTCGGAAAGTTAGGCGCTGTTGCAAAAAGCAGAAGCCGCTGCCCGGGAGAGTGAGTGCAAGGCACAGGGAGCTGCTCTTCGTACCTCCCCAGGCTCATTAATACACCAAGGCAAGTCTGGTTTAGAGCGATGTACCCATACACGTGACTTTATCTGCTTGTTCTGCTTTTAAATCACGGATTATTCCCCCCCCCCCCAACGGTACTCCTGTAATGTCAGGAAGAGCAGCTTCTCCTTACCAGGGGGAGGTACCGCAGCGCTCGCTGCTGTAATGCAGAGGCATTGATTAACGAGTTGTCACTCAACCGAGCATCAGCTTTGCCCAGCTCGGGGAGAGGAGAAACACAGCCCAGCAGTGACATTAAGGGCTTCAGACTCGGCGCCTTTTGGGGGGGCAGTCTGATATTAAACAGTCTCTGCAGAGAGAGATGCCCCAAGGCATCAGAGATGCGTATCTGGCTTCTGAATTTTGGATCGCTCTGATTTTTGGATTTGCTAGTGGCATATGGAAAATGCATAGGCTTTCCACGCATGGGGGGGGTTGTGCATTTT